CCAAAGTCCATAGTTTACATTAAAGTTCATTCTAGGTGTTCTACATACTACAGGTCTTGGGTATTTTGATCCACTCTGAGAATCTCTATCTTTTCATTGGTGGATTTAGACCACTGACATTTAAGGTGATTATTATGTAGTTGGATTAATACCTACTATATTTGTTACTGTTTTCTATTTGGTGCCCTTTTCCTTTTTCTCCTATTTTTTATCTTCCATATGTTTTCTGCCTTTTGTGGTTTTAACTGCGTAGTTTGTATGATTCCATATTCTCCTATTTCTTAGCGTATCAATTATACTTCTTTGTTTACTTTTTTGAGTGGTTGCCCTAGAGTTTGCAATATATATTTACAAGTAAATCCTAGTCCACATTCAAATAACAGTATACTGTACTGTTTCAGGGATAGTACAAGTACCTTATAACGAAAAGAAATTTCCTAATTTCTCCCTCTCTTCCCTTATATCATTGCTGTCATTCATTTCACTTATATGTAAGTATACGTGATCATATACTTTACATAAGCATATATAATTGAATATATTGTTGCTATTATTATTTTTAACAAACTTATCTGTTAATTGAGAGCAAGAAAAATAAAAGTTTTTATTTCCTCTCCATCTATTCACTCTCTGATGCTCTTCCTTTCTTAATGTAAATAAGAGGTTCTAATCTATATCATTTTCCTTCCCGCTGCAGAACTTTTTAACATTTCTTGCAATACATGTCCACTGGCAACAAATTTCCTCAATTTTTGTTTGTCTGAAAAGTCTTTATTTCTCTTCCACTCTTGAAGAATAATTTTGCAGGGCGTAGCATTCTAGGTTGGTGGGTTTTTTTCTCTCAATACTTTAAATATTTTCACTCTACTCTCCTGGCTTGCACGGTCTCTGAGAAATCAGATGTAATTTTTATCCTTGTTCCTTTATAGGTAAGGGTATTTTTCCCCCTTTAACTTATTTTAATATTTTTCTTTATTTTTGATTTTCTGAAGTTTGAGTTTGATAATTTTTTTGTCATTTATCCTGCTTGATGTTCTCTGGCATTCCTAGATCTGTGGTTTGGTGTCTAATATTAATTTGGGTAAGTTTTATGTCATTATTGCTTCAAATGTTGGGTTCTATTCCTTTCTTTCTTCTCATTCTAGTATTCCAATTATAGATATATTATACTTTTTATAGTTGTCCCATTGTTTGTGGATATTCTGTTTTTTTTTTTTTCAGTCGTGTTTCTCTTTTCAGTTTTAGAAGTTTCTACAGTGATATCCTCAAGTTCAGAGATTCTTTCCTCAGCCATGTTCAGTCTACTAAGGAGCCTATCAAAGATTTTCTTCATTTCTGTGACACTGTTTTTAGTTTCTAGTACTCCCTTCTGATCCTTTCTTAGAATGCCCATCTCTCTGCTTATATCGTTCATCTAGTCTTGCATGTTGTCCACTTTTTTCATTAAAGCTCTTGCATATCAATTGTAATTTTTTTCATGCCTGATAATACTGACATCCCTGCCATATCTGACTCTGGTTCTGATGCACGTTCTGTCTCTTCAAACTGTGTTTTTTGCATTTGAATATGCCTCATAATTTTTTGTGAAAGGTGGACAAGATGAACTACATAAAATAAAGTGCTTTAAACAGGCTTTTAGTAATGCAGTGGTAAGACATGGGGTAGGGTAAGCATTCTGTAGTCCTATGATTAGAGTTCAGTCTTCTGGTGGGTCTGCGCCCCTGACCAGTGCTTCTCAGTCCCCTTCCCTTAGGAGGGACACTACGGCTGGAGGGATCAAGGAGTTATGCCTTCCCCTTCCCAGTGTGGAAGGCTAGAGCAGGCCAAAATTGGGATTTTTCTTCCCCCATAATGAGGTTAGGTTCTTATAAAACCCCAGCATGTTAGGTTCTGATAAAATAATTTCTCCTGAGGGTAGGTCTTGTTAAGAAGAATGGAATGTCCTAGTGTAATTCAAATGGTTCATTTTCAATTTTCTTTCATTTAGAGTAAGACGTTTTGTTTTCATCTATGTCCTCATAAGAACTGGTCAAAACTTGAACCAGAAGCTCAAACTCACAAAGATGATATGGTAATTTTAGGGTCAATATATTCTATATTTAAATACAGCTACTCTTCAATATGTTTCAGAACTAGGAATTTTACAAATGCCCATTGTAGTATTAAAAGGCCAAGAGGGCAAGATTTTGAATCCTCATAATTTCTATGAGGTGCTCTAAAGCCACCTTAAAGAAACACCTATTTTAGTAAAAAGTATGTTTCTTAAAATCCACCTTGCCTCCCAAATTAGACTATAATCCCTATCCCCCCCTATTAAAAAACATATAGATACACTTTAAAACAAAAACTCTTCTATTTCAAAACATCAGAAATGTAATTGTTATTACATCTAAAATGAACTCACACAATTCAAACAAGGATGCTGGCATTGTAATGTGTGTGTGTGTGTGTGTGTGTGTGTGTGTGTGTGTGTCCATGTGTGTGCATGCACGTATGCATGTGTGTGTGTGTGTGTGTGTGTGTGTGTGTGTGTGTGTGTATGTGTGTGAGTGGGGCCTGGAGTGCTACTATTAACTCATAAACTGAAATATCTCCATCATTTATGGCTAAGGTTGGAATTCAGGAAGGAAAGCTATTCATTTTAACTATCAACCTCTTTTCTGAAGAATGCTTTAGGATTTACAATATGAGTATTACTCTCCACTCAGATATTCACTGGCTCCAGAGATGTTTACAAGCTTGTTTCACAACTTAAAAAAAAATGTATCAGAAAAAGCCCATGAGGCTTTACACTGCTGAGCATTTATAATTAAAAGTAAAACACTGACAGTGTGATTAGAATGGGAATCTGAAAAAGACAGAAGAAAAATAAAGCACTGCATATCTTTAGTAGCATATTCCCTTGAACAATAATGTTGAAAAATTTCATCAAACTGCATGAAGATATTCCGGGTCTTTTGTTCCACTAATCAATGAAAATACAAATCCACAAATCCACAAGTTGTCTTCATTTAAATAATTAAGAAATCCTCCATTAAAAAGGTGAAAATAATCAAAGAAAAGAGAAATAATACATTATGCTAAACTAAAACCATTTTGACAGGGTACATTTTAAATCTACTATTGCAATAATAGGTCTGAATACTATTTTCAAAATACTAGGCAAAAGTTGCCATAGTAACAATACAATTCCTCTTGAAACATAATTAATCACCTAAAATTTTATCAGATGCAACAGGGCA